CAGCGATTGGACGCACCGAGGGCGGCTGGAGGTTTTCCGAACTCACCAAGCGAAGTGAGGGGAGTTCGGGAAACTTCCATTCACCCGAGGTGCGTCCAATCCCGGACTCACCGAACCCGCAAGTATGTTTGGTTTTTATCCCATACTCGATCGATGTTTTGTCAACATTTTCCCGGCCAAAAAATCACTGGGCTCTAAATACTTTTTTATCTACGTCTAGATTACCTTTATGGCATTATTTTCTTTGTTTTTTCTTCAGTCTCAGGGACCAGTCATAAAGTAAAACATGGGTGTGAGCTGGGAAATATAGGAGGGGGTGGGTCACTATTTTTGAGCACGGTTGAAGGCAGAGGAGGTTGGACAGCTGTCACGTGAAAATCTCGACCAATGAAATCGCGCTATTTTCCCATCGTGTTTACGAAGATTTTTGGCCGTCAAATTTGCATTGGACACAGAAGAACTCAAAAAATATATATAAATATTCAAATTTTTCTATCAAAATGCAACCATGGCCTTAGTATTATAAAAGGACTGGCGATATGTGCAAGAATTTCTGAGGTAAACGTTATTTTTTAACCTGTTTTCGATGATTAAATTAAAGTTGGTCATGCCGTGGCAACGTGATGACTCAAGTCCGAGTCTGTTTACAATTTTCAAACTAAAAAATCTGGAATTTCCATGGTTCGATTTTCGTAATTTTTGAAAAAAAGTCAAGACAAATGTCTAAACTAAAAATCCGCTGGAGGGATCCCCGGGATCCCCCGGCTGTTTTCGAGATATTTGGCATTGAAGTGACCATACTCAATTCAACCTTTGCCAAAATGGCGTCTAATATCTGGGGAAGATATTGCGCCACCAAAGCTTGGTTTTCACAATGAATTTTGAAAGTCCCCCAATATTAGGATCACTTTTCTTTACAGTAAGTGTTAAATTACTTTTGAAAGACTATTTAGAAGATTTACGCCTGTATTCTAAAAGCTCACTCACACTCACACTCAATGAGTGGAGGTTCAATCTGAGCTTCTCTTGAGTGTCAATGCTGTTTTTGAATAGCTGGAGGGTGAGTAGTCACATAGTAAGGTAGGACACTAACCTTCCAGCTATTCAAAAACAGCATTGACACTCGAGAGAAGCTCAGATTGAACTTCCATTCATTGAGTGTGAGTGTGAGTGAGCTTTTAGAATACGGGCGTTAGGAGTTATTTGCCTGTTTTTACAGATTTTATATCTGGGCTGGTATTACAAGCCTGCATCAATTGCCCATCTCCTTGACATGCATGCCTATCTCCTTGGCAAGTGAAATTGTCTGGTGGTAGAGACGATTTTAAAAGAACAGCACATTATAAAGTGATCAGATTTTCTCTCAGTGAAAAATTCTATGTTCCTTTTTAATTACAGCAGTTCAGATGTCGATATAGAATTGAAAAAGAGCTTCTTCCTGAACATCCAAGGGCAGGGCCAACTGACGATGTTGAAGAATGAAGACATTTTAGCATGGATTACTAGTATAGATTATAGTATCTCTTGTCCTTTATGATGTCTTTCTGAAAGTTATTGGTGAATACAAATTGAGCTGTGATCCCTCAACGTGGCCAACAACATGCTCCACCAAATACCTGAGAACAATATAGAAAGTGCACATACATGCAGGGATGGATTTACTGGGGAGAGGGGGTGCACCCTCCTAGTCCTGGCCAGAGAGGGTGCAGGGGGTGCTATTTTTATGATAAAGCAAAAAAGTAAAAAAAATGAGATACAATAATTTGAGCAATAACATGATGATAAGTGAACTGTGAACAACAATTACAATTCAAATACAGCAGTTGATGGGTGGGCGGCACACGTAACCGACACAATTTGGCAGTCGGCACCAGAGCACCCCCACCCCCCTCCCCTACCAGATCATGCTGTATCCATCCCTGCATACATGTACTGTATCATATTTAATTAATGCTTGAGTATATTTGTTCAAACTTATTGACATTAATAAATAATTAAATTAAGTTTGTTATAGTAGTGTACATTTTGCATCAGCCACTCTTGAAATTAGACGTCAGCCACTTTTTAACTTAATGGCCATGGATGACCTAAGAAATTGATTTCTTTATTAAACAGCAACTTGCAAGCTTTGTGATATTTCTTGAATACCTCAAAAGTTGTCAGCTGCTGTTTACATTATGTACTTCATATGTTTCGATAATTTTTGTTGAAAAGATGCTGAATTGTCAGCATGTGACAATTCATTTCAAGCACCATGTAAGTTACCACACATCACCCACAGTATTTTTTGGACAAGCCAGTTTTAACACCCTGGCTGGTACAGTTATTGTATATACCTGTAGTATAATTCACCATGTTTGTTTTTTTAGCATGCATGTACACTATTATTAAGTTAAAGGAGGAAGCATTTATAATGGCATGCAGGTACATTATTTGATACTTCTGAAGACCATCCAGAGTCAACAGGTGTATATAGAAACAAGTAAATAGAGACCCACATTTTGACTAGAAATAAGAACCATTTAAATTGAACTCAGTCCGATTTTCACATAACCAACTTTAAAACGAACTGCAGTCGAATTTTACAACATACATTCCGAACTTACAAATAAACACTGGTGGTCAGATTTCAAAGACAAATTGAAATTGACAGTAAGATGTAATTTTATTGTTGGGGATGGGTTGGTGCTTTAGGTTTCAGGCTCAATTCCTGCAGAAGGGTTACATAAAGTCACAGCAATTTCAAAATTAATTACATGGCTTGACAAAATAAATTCTATTCAGTCACGAAATAGGTAGATGCATTTATTTATAGCGCATGTTTTTTTAAGTTTAGATATAGGTAATGAGAACCATTTGGTGTCCTAGTAATAAATTTATGCCACAATAAAAAAGCAATATTGCTATTTTGAGGGAGTTGCACAAGTGCATATGACAGATATTGTTTTCTTATAGATACACACCTACTTAAATTAAATGATTTTGTTTGGCAATAAAGTGAAAGGTAAAAATGCTGAAAAAATCTAAAAAGCAAATTTAAATAACATTTCTATAACTTGCTAAACCTTGTCAGTTACTATTATATCACAAACATCTGTCGACATACACTCATGCCCCTGCTTACCACTTGTGTCTCCCACTCACCACATCGCTTTATGTAAAATTTTGGATAAAATCCTATTTTAAAAAAGTCAACCCTATACTTTATATGCTGAACATAGACCTCTAAGATATCTCATGCAGCAATTAGTGGGTGCAAATAATATAGCCAACATCACATGTGTCCATCCAGTTCCATAGTCTACATCAATTGCTATTGCACTTGGGTCCATTGGATTCAATGGCTTTGGCCGTATTCTTACATTCACTGGTTTATCTTGTCCATGAATAGCAAGGCATGTCTGTTACAAATGATCTTGGTTTCTCATGAGCAGCACCAATGCACTTGAATGGCACAGCATGGGTGATTTCGTCCTCGTCACTTTCATCCTGATCACTTAACTGGTCACCACTTCTGCCCTATCATCTTCATTACCATATCCATCCTGACCAGGTTTACATGGCCAGAAATTTAAGACATTTGAGCCCGCGATGCTCAGCGGATGTCAATTGAAGCAAAATAAAAATTTACTTAAGGTGGCTCGATATAGTTATCACAAAAACTCTGCTCAAGAATCGCGAACTCAAAACCGGGTGACCATTTTTACGCGCACAAGTCGCGCAGGTCGCGGAAACTGATTAACAAAATGAAAGAACTTCCAAAATGACCTGACGTGAGCAGTTGCTCGCGCCATATCACGCCATTGCGCGTGTTCTATAGCGTTTTATGTCAATTGCTAACGTCATTAGAATTTTCCATTTGAGAAAAACAATGCGCTATATCTCTTTATTTTGTCTGGTGACCTATGTTGAAATTTTGCATGCTGTATTGCACTGCTAAAAACTTTCATTATACAAAAAATAAAAAAATTCTGTAATGCCAAAAAAAATTTACCGAAGAATATGACATTTTCGCATTTTCCAAAAAAATGGCATCACAGAATTTTTTTATATTTTGCTAATTGTTAGCTTTTCTTCCAAGTAAAATAATGCACGAAAAAAAATTGGGGGTAACCATGCTTTTTTTCCAACTATACGAGACGATAGGTTATTTTGGAGTGAATTTCGTACACGTATGTCGTCATAGCAACGAACTATCTGTTACTAAAACTAATATCGTTTGAAAGTAGAGTTATCAAAATATATAAAAAAACCAATATCTGCTGAATAAATCCTAAAAATGCGTAGTTTGAACATGTCAAAGTGTTAAACACCTGAATTTTTGAAAACTGTATCGAGCCACCTTAAATTTACATTAGGAATACGAAAACTATCGAAAATAACTCTCTTAAATTTAAAGTTATTCATTTTGTACTCACAGATTCGTTATATTGACATTGAAAGGAAGAGAATGACACAAAAATGAGAATGATAGGCCATCGCAAAGCTGTTCCATTCGGAGAACTGATTTTGACAGCTATTCCGTGTATAAATACCCTACAAATTGCTGTGAAATGCCATAAAACGCAGATTATGATGCAGGATTGTTCAAACCAAGGCATACATTTTGAATTTGCACTCACGTCATAATAAATTTCGAACTTACCTCTATCCAGAGGAAAAAATCTGAATGATAAACAACCTGAGCAAATGTTTCCAAAATCCAGTTCAAAATATGAATTCTTAGCCTTTGGTGCAAGCCAAATATCCCCATATTACGAGCTGTGATGCTGCGTGCGAAATTCCTATACCAATTGTTTTTTCTCGAGCAAAAATCGCTGAATGTAGCCGAGTTATCTATCAAAATACTCCTTGGAACATACACTCTCTCCGTACTGCAGTTGTTGTTAGCAGCGGTATCTTTGTGGCCGTAAATGTACGGAAGAATCTCGGGAGACCCTCGTACGATTTAGCGGACGCGCGAAAATTAAGTATGTAAATACAATTCCACAGCTTGTAGGATGGCAAAAAATCACGAAAAAGCGTATGATTTCGCAAAATTTCAACGCTGTTTTTTAATAAAACATACAGACGATGGTAGCGAAGAGGAGGAAGGCATTGCTTTTACGATAAAAGTTAAAAACAAGTGCCTTAAAAGCTGGTATGACTTTACTACGAAGAAAGGTCCCGAAGGCAAATTAAAGTTAGTTGATATTATCAATCGTTTCTTGGCGGAACAGCATGTAACCCCCCTAAAGGAAAACTGTGTCAGGATTGAAGAGCATCCCAGAGCTTTGTCTTCCATGGCAAAAAGTAAGTTGTTTGCGAAACGTGGGCGACAGTATACATCTTGCTCAAACCTTTTCAGGCGCATTATTGTCATGAAGAGTGAATTAATTCAAAGCCAGGATTTAAACGAGACCAGGAAAACAATGGAGCAACTTCATGCCCAAACGACACAATTTTCTGAGCAAAATAGGTGCATAAATGAACGATGTGAGCAGTTATCCGAAAGTTTGAAAACTCATAATGATCAGAAATGCAAATCGGAAGAAGAGTTGGAAGAGCAAGTGAACAGAAATGCAGAACTTGAGCAAAGTAACAAACAATTACTTGAGCTGGTGACGAAGCTGGAGGAATTACATGGAAAGGATTTAGATAAGAGGAGGAAAACATTTACAGAGGTTGGACAAAGACAGCAGCACCGGATTATGACGGAATTAAAGACGAAAGCAGAGAGGTCTTTATGGTTCGCTAAAGCATTTGGTTTGGATGTATCCTCTATCAAATTTGAAGATGAGGCCGGTTTGCACCATGAAGTAAAATATAGCTCACCTAGAGAGGGCACTGATAAAACATTGATAAAACAATGCAAGGACGATTTAAACAAATTGGTTCACATTTCCAGAACACCAGGGCAGGCTGAAGGAGCACAACTGGATTTTGAAAGTGAATTGGCAGATGTATTAAGAAACAAGGTGGGTTAATTTATCAATGCATATGAACTAAGCTTTAAAATTTATTGAGTTTATTGAATCATTTTGATTTATCTCTTGAAATTTAATTCTAGATTCAAAAAGGTGAAATCCAAGTGGAAAATGGTGAGAAAGTCAGGGTGAAATTTAGTGGGGATGGAGCCAACATGACTCGCAAGATTTCATTTGTTGTCATTTCTTTTTCTGTTATTGATAGTGATGATGTAATGTCATCAAAAGGTTAGTACAATTTTGTTACTACAATTTCATTCCAACATTTGGTTCCAACCAGTTGTGCTACATGTCCTGGTCATTATTTTGGTAATATAAAATATAATATCATAGCTATCTCGAATTCCTTTGTTTCGCGAGGCACGATTAATGACTAATTTACCTCATTGCTAAAGCATGAGGGACGATTAGAAATTAATCACTCCACGGGACGATTAGTTACTCATCGTCCCTCATCTTTATCATAACCTCTTATATTGATGTTCAATTAAATACTTAACAGGCATGAAAAATCAACCGTAACCTCATTATCGAACATCCCAATAGTCATTAGTATCAAAAAGCAAGCACGCCTTTTCATTTCAACTTATTCAATCGAAGGAAACCGTTTTATTGTCTCGGTAGCTATGATATTACAAAGTGATAGCATTGCATTACGGTCGATTAGTGATGAAATGTCCCTCAAATTAGTGATGAAATGTCCCTCGGCTTTCGGGTACATTTAATCACTAATCGCTCTGAATGCCATGCTATATTACTTATAATTAATATTGCACCTTTTATTAATTTATAGGCAACCACACGGTTGCTGTTATTAAAGGGCAAGAAAGTTATGAGCTTCTGAAGTGCTCTTGCTCTGAGTTATTCAAATCAATCAACAAAATTACTAGAGGGGGAAAAATTAAAGTAGACGATCAGGATGTAATGGTGGATATGTTTCTTGGGGGTGATTATAAGGTAATAATTAATTTTCATACATCTGTACATTAAATTTACAAATTCAAAGAATGGTAATTTTGATTATTGAATTTTCAGTTTCTATTGGAAATATGCGGCATGAAAGGGGCCACATCTGACCATTCTTGCGTTTGGTGCAAACTTCACAAAAAGCACAGGTAATCTGTTAAAAATGGCGCAGATAAAACATGCGGTTAGAAATATCTCTATATTCTTGAGTTTCAGTACGGCATTTTGCAGTGAATCTGACGGGGGGTCAACCTAAAATGTGTTGATGCTTATGTTGTACTGGAGTGAGCAAATGATAGGAAATTGCATGTATTTGCCACCAAACACAAGGCCAACACATACAGTGAACAATTAATTCATTCTGATGACTATGTCTCGATTTAAAGTTGACCCCCCCCCCCCCGGTCAAATTTATGAAGTCATATGAAACCCAAGAATATGTTACTTCAGTTCTTCAACAATTTATGTTAACTTTTATTACCTTAGACATGACATGACGAAACCTGAAAATTATTGTTGGGAAATTCCTTTGGTGAGATCCCTGGAAGATATTATTGAATGCGTTAGAAAACAAACGTACTCTTGTGTGCATCCGCCTTTGTTGAACATTGGACTGCGGAACATTGTCCCTGATGAATTGCAGTTGATGCTTCGAGTCACTGGTAATAATAAGTAATATTAAATTAACTTATCTGGAAACACTATATCTTTGGTATTAGTATGTTTCCACACAATTTTCCATTTGTCTTACTTTTCATTTTCAAACTAAATTGTTTAATAATCAGTGTGTAAACAAACCTCTGTGTGTAAACAAAGAGACCACAGGTTTAGGATTAAAGTTAATATTTATATAACTTATTTAATAGATAATTGATTTATTCCGACACTGCATAAACTGTGAAGATGAGGTTTAAATTATAGTAACTGTACTACATAATTTAAATTTATATTGGCACTTATACATAATTTAAATTTATATTGGCAGATGTTTTGCTGAACAACTTGATATTAGGAGCACTGTCTTTAGATGGAAAAGACAACCACAATAAGCCTCCTAATCAGAGAATGACTGGGCATATAGATGCTCTTTTATGTGCAATAAGAAGTTGTGGTGTGTCTTTCTCAATATGGGAGAAAATGAATGCTAATGGTAGTGGGAGTGGAACATATGATTTTACAAGTCTAATGGGTCCAGATAAGAGATTACTTCTTGAAAAGCTTGCAAAAAATTTGGAAATCAATCCAGATGCTGTTAATCAAAATATCCAACATAGTGTTATTGAACTATGGAATGTAAGTTTTTTTTAATTAATTATAATAACTTTTAATACTGTAGCACTTCACACTGAATATTGTCAGACAAATTGTATTGTTTCCTGTTTAGCCAATTATCTGGAATTTTAACAAGCCTTTTAGACTTGTTTCATTATATTTTATTTAGGACTTCAATGATCTTTGCCTCATACTAACATCAAAAAGCATCGATGCCGCTAAAGTTGATGAATACTTTCAGAAGGTATGGTATTAAATATTCTAAATAATATGCCTGATATCAAACAAACCTTTACAATTGATAAGATCCAGTGATGTAATTGTACATTGTTTTAGTAATTTGTATTCATCCTGCTAATTTCTTTTATCCTAATGGCAGCATTTTTTTTTCATTTCAAAAACTGATTTTTTATATATACAGTAAAACAGCAGTCAAAATGTTGTGTTGATTTCCATTGTGAAATACTCATGGATTTTACTATATATGTAATATAGTCGTTAAAATTTGGTTTATGGTACTTTAAATATGGTTATAGTAAAAAACACTCCTATTAAATTTAAATCTTTGAACACAGTGATTTAAATATAAACATTTGATTTTAAATTTAAAGAATCAATTTCTTTCAATGCAACTCAAACAAACTATGAGAAGGCATGTATAAAATAATTAATTGCAGCAATAAAAAAGGAGACCCCCCTCCATAAAGTGTCTAATATTTTATGAACCCCCCTTTTTCTGGCTGAAAAATATGTGACCCCCCTGTTTCCACCTCCCCACCCCCTCTGCTAAATTATGACCAGTCCCCTAAATACGAAATAATTGTGTATACGAAATAATTGTGTATACGCAATACGCATATTCACAGTTAATAGTATATTAACTGTGGCATATTATACAATATTATATACAGTATACAGTCTCTTTTGGACAATTAAATATTCAAACTGTACCGCACGCAACGAAAGAGTCTTTGTCTTTGACTTTACCACACGTTTGATTACTGGCAGAGAGTTATACCTCGACACAATTTTTGATCATAGAATCTCAGCGATGCGAAAACGGTTTACATATATTACAGTCTTTGATGGGCTTTTCACAGTCGGGAGAGCATGTTTAGAATTTGCACACAGTGGGCGGGTCACAAGATCTTGCTGTTTTATAGCAATTCCCTGTCTCTACACAAGGTAAATCCGTAGGGTTTACGTATCAGGATACACTTCAACACTGACAACGTCACAACCATATCGTTCGCTCGATTGGTCTAGAAGACGTTTTAATACGGCGAAAAGCGTCCTTTCATTGCCAAGCCTTGATGCCCAATGAAATCTGATCCAACTTCTCGCTTGACTAATGTAACCCAACACTCAATGATATAGAGGAAGTTGAGTCATAATAAATACAAAATCTTTCAGGATTTCTGTTGCAAATTTAAATTTTATCGTTCGAAACTGTAACACACAAGTTGTAATTTTTCAAAATGCAACAAGAGCACTCCTCTACCACCCCTCCCTAAGTACAATTTCAGTTTAGCACCCAGAATCTGGGAGCCATGTGACCAGCTCCGACCAGGTTCTTTCCTTCCCCAAAGAAAGAGCCTGGGAACGAGGTTGTGTTACAGCATCCTGTAGATGTAAATACAATGCAGCCATGGCCCCTGAGCCTCGTTTTTGTGTTTTAGCTTATTTCCACATTTATGAATATGTGTTTTCAGAATAGATTCGAACGAAAACTGGAATTACTCAAGCTGCTTTCCAATGTCCATGGCATAACAAGTTTGCTTCTAAATGGGGAGTCAGTGATGTTCAAGAATAGTCAACAACTCAGTAGCAAAACTCAAGCAGAATGCCTACAGAACTTTATGTTTATTGAAAAAACTGAAGAAAACTGTAAACAGAAAACAAACAAACCTTCATTAGTAACAGTATTGATTGGTCAATAATGCCCCAACCTTTGACATGCCTCTACTTCTCCACTCTACACCTTCGACGTTTTCTGCAAGACTAAAGTCACTTGGAATTCGTCAGCAATTTACCGAACAACAAGTTAGGCATGTTGTATGCAGGTCTTTTCAAAGACGAGCTTAATGTGCACGATGCACTTAAAGATGTTAAAGCATTGTCCAAAATACTATTTCATAGCTTGATTGAAGTGACAGTTCAACAGATTTTGGAATAGGGTCGACCAACAACATTGGAGGATGCCATAAAGGACGTTCTGTTTCTCGATCAAAGGCACACGATCGTAAGAAGCAGAAAATAGTATACCATTTAAAACACTCCAAATATCTACACAAGATTTGCAAAGAACATACTATTTGCTGTTGGTGCTTTGCCAGCTAATTCATGTCATTCATTGGCGAAGTAAAGGGATAAATCTCAACTGAGAATAATGTGGTATCGCAGAATCCAGGCACAAATCTTGTGATTCTTTAAAAAAATTCAAAGCGACCATTGGTATGATTTCAGTAAAGTAGATGTTTAACAGTTATAAACTTTTAATATTCACTAGCAAATACAGACAACATTTACATTTTTTATAAAACACTTCCAAAACAGCATGCTTGCACACACCTACAAACACTTGATAATTGTGTGACATGGTCAGTGAATTAACTTTTTGCGTGTAGTTGAAGAATTTTTGTGAAGTGAAAAATGTCACTTTGAGGTGCTATTTTCTCATGTACTTGTACTTAACCTATTAAGTTGTATTAAATTTTAATCGCCAGTGTAGTTTTGTGAAACTAATTTTTAGCTTTAATGGTCATGTGTGTATTGTATTTTCACTAGAGTAACCAATAGTTATTATATTATGTGTGTATTGTATTTTCACTAGAGTAACCAATAGTTATTATATTTTTGTTTAGCCATTGTGTAATATTACGACTGAATAATTAAACCAGCACGCACGCTGCTATTGGTAAAAAAGAATACACATGTGACGATGAACCAATCGTTCCTTGCATAATGAGGTCTTTTACTGTATGTCTGCATCGAGTTCTCTAACCTTATTCTATTGACTATGATGCAATGCTACATTTGTATGTATTATATATGTATGTGTGCATGTGTTTGGGTAACACCGAATATCCTCCATTAGAAGTTTCCGCACACTTTTTCACCCATATTTTATTAGGCAATTTCTAATAATTATTGACCATTGAGCTTTAATTACAAAAATCTGGTTTCTAATATGCCTGGTTTCCTTCCCCATGTGGCAAAATATATTCTGAATGTGGAAAAAATTTTCTGAATGTGGCAAAATATATTCTAATATGTCTGGTTTCCTTCCTCATGTTGCAAATATATTTGGTCACATGACAAGTATATTTATTTTGTGTCTATTTTCGACTTTCGAGACTTTTCCTTATGAGGTGTTGTCGTATTTGTGATATTCAATTCTCAATCAAACTTTTTTACCCCACATCAACTACGCCAAAAGGACAGACAAAAATGTGAGGGTGTTCGACCAAAGGCGCACTGTCTTTTCTGTGGTGAACTATCATCGAAAATTGCAAGGCAAATAACCACGAAACATAAAGAAGATGTCATTTTGCAAGAAACCAAAAGAAAGAAAAAAGGAATTGACAATGCTAGGCTCAACGAAAGGCAAAATTGTTGATAGCCTCGGCAATTACTGGGAGCAACAACAAAAGGTTGAACAAAATAATTTCTGCGATGAAATACGATTCCATTTTGGACATTGTCAAGAAAGACAAACTCATAAAGGATTTGGGAGGTTTGCTTATCCAGAACTATGAACTTAAAAGTGGCGATGTGTCAGAAAATGAGAGAGCTGGGTCGATTAGTAGAATGCCTCATGAAAATTGAAGAAAACAAGGACTTCATGAAGCCTGAAAAATTTGACACGATTGTCAAGGGGTGAAAGAGAAGCCTCTGGTTCATTGATGGTGAAGAAGGTCAATTGGAAGTTGGCATACCATCACTTGCATTGAAGTTGGGGTACTCCTTGTCGAAATGCGCTACATGTATGGTTGCACATGGGTTGTGTATAAAAGACGAGTCAATCAGAAAAGACGCAAAGAATTTCAAGACATTAATGGCATCAGAATGGGAATATCAGGTGTCCCACAATTCATTAACCACCTTACATGAACAGAGGTTCAATAAAGTTAATGTGCCACCCCTGGCAGAAGATATTGCCAACCTTAGGTCCTTTGTGGATAGAAGCATAGCGAGAAATCCGAGAATCTAAAGCGGAAAAGTCCAACAAAGCGAAGATGGATCTTGCCCAATAAGAGGAGAGGTGGCGAAGCATCCAGGCTGCTTTTGCAGGAGTACAAAGGAAAACCTGTCTGGAGTCAATCAGCCAGCTCGGAAATTCTGGCCAGTCTGAGCAGTAAGTTAATCTATATATGAATGATATAAACATCATAAAAATTATACATTTTACTGAAACAATAGTTACTAGAATACTTAGTTTGGAAACTCTATGAAGTTATTAATTATCTTGGTCTAGGCTTATGCAAAAATGAAGTCCTTGTTCGTCACATGTGTCAAACGCATGTCCAAAATATACCAAAAAAGCCAAACTCTAAAATTAAGGCCAGGGATTGAACTATGAAATCACTGAGCACATGCCTTCATGCTTTATAAAATTAATGCATTTACATAATTTCCATATTGTTATTGTGAAAAGTAAAATACAATATTCAAATTATGTAGGTGCCAATGAGTTGACAAAAGTTCCATCGCCTATTTAAAGGACTTAAAATTGAGCAAATTTAGTGATATTTTGACCATTAATAAAACATATAACAAATTTCTTGCCCATGAAATCAAAATGCCTTTAACTTTTAAATTGCACATGCTAGCCATTTGTAATGCTGCTAAAAAAGACACCCCCCCTTGCTCTGGAAAATTGACCTTTACGAAATTTTTTTGTTTATTCTACATTATAAGTACCCAACCAATCTATATTTATCAAAACATTGTTAAATAAAGGGTTTAGAAAGATTGTCTTCAAAATAGTTTAAGTTCAATCATGGATTGTAAAATAACTGGATAGGAAACTTCTGACATCATTGGCCGCAACCTTGTTGAAAAACGTGACGTCACACATATTGCGAATATTACCAAAGTTCTCGGAATTTTTGTTGTTTTGTTATATTTTCCACTTTAAAAGGGTGATATTGAAGCATAAACTGGTCAATTGTTTTAAAAACATGCCTAAGCCACGACAAAGTATTCAAGGTAAATGTTTTTCGTCTTTGTTTTGTATTTTTTTACATTTGTAGCTACGAAATTGGCGTCACAAATTTTAACGAAATTTGTGATGTATTTTTCACTGTTCAGTGCTTGAAATATTTGCTAAAATTGACTGGGAATACTTAGAGTTTTCATCGTAGAATGGCGTGGTTATATTTATTTGCTCTTTGACTAAATTGTTTAGCTGTATTATTGCTAAACATGCCGTTTTTGAGAATTTGGTTTTCAACTAGGTTGAGACATCCAACCACGCCATCAGCCCATTGAAAACATTAGGTCACGTCAGCTAGTTTCCTATCCATTTATTTTATTATCCATGGTTCAATATAACTATAATGTTCCAATTAATGTGTGCTGTGAATGATATCAGAAAAATCTCACTATAATATGTCCTAATATGATTCTTGCCTCTTTCTAGGCTGGCATGGTTGAAACTCAAGGAAAAAGGGGATGGAAAGTGCCCATTATGCTGACTCCAGAATTAGAAACCGGGTCGACCTTATCAATTCCCTACGACCGATGTTGGGATCAATGAGCAAAATCTGTATGTCTTCGCATGTGTGCATACTTTGACTCAAAAAATTGTTTTATAATATAGTCTAATATAGCCATTAACTGAAGCAGTAATTAATTATTCACTGTTTCAAGGTCAATTCTCAACGTGATGCTAAAATTATGTTAAAATTTGAAAAAATCTAATATTTTACCCATTCATTTGTTTAATCTGAATAGAAATAGATAGAACACTTGGCTATATAAGTTATAAAAGTATTGTTAGCTTATCTGAAAGATTTTATCATTCCTGGTACACATTTTAACAAAGAATGAAATGTAATTTTAAAAATTAAATGTGCATATAAAAAAATAGTTTTTATTACAACAGCATAGAATAAGTTATTTGGAAACAGGATCTAGTTCCCCCAGCTTGATGTCATTATCCATTTGGGTAGAAGGATCAGGCTTTGAAGCACAGTGCACAACATTTTAATAATTTGTTGAATAACATACCCAATAAACCAACTAAATAAAAAATTCAGAAACCTAATAGCAATAGGAAAGAAACAGATGGAGAAGAAGGAACTAAACCAGTAGATTTAAACAATTTTTATGAAATGATGAAGATAAAAGATGTCCAAGCTAGAAAAATTCGAAACTATAGAAAAGAATATCAAGCCTCTAGACGATGATTTTAAATCAATTAAAGCTTCATTGGAATATGCAGACACAGAAGTTAAAGACTTAAGACTTAAGGAAAGACAGTGAGGTGCTGAAAAGCTACAAAGAAAAGAGTCGAAAGGCTTGAATATGATAACGCCATTTTACACAATAGCATTATTGATCTGAAAGCATGCTCAATGAATGATAATCTTATATTCCACAATATCAAAGAAAGTCCTGAAGAAAATATTTTAGCGATTATCCATCAAGTACTGCAACAGAGAAACCACGACCGATCATGGCAAAATTTTATTTTTAAATTGGAATCTCGGAACAATTCTCCACGGATATCATGGATACTAGAAGAAAACTTTTACCAGAATTCAAGAAAGCGAGGGGCTCAAGGTAAAACTTGTGCGAGATAAACTTTATATTGATGGTCAGCTTTTCTATCTACCAAAATAAGTCATTATTACTGGAATCATATTACAATAGGTTATTATTTGGTATACAAGTAAATTCCTTCCATTTTGAATTGCTTTGTATAATGCATAAC